TCTTATCTGTTGGGCGATGGCAGGAAATGCCCCACTGTACAGTAATCATCATGTATTATCAGTGGGCCTTGCTTTGGTTAAAGGTCTCATATCTACATACCAATGCCGTCTGTCTTTGCTTGTGTAGCCAGTTTGTATTGAATCTTTTTTTGCTTACATAAGAGGTTTATAATGGACATCTCGATGGCGTTGTCTGTGGTCTCAATAGCATTTACTTGAACAAGAGGTTATTAAACGGACTGGGATGCTGCAAGTTTCCCTTAAATCACTCTGTTGCAGCATCACAACGGCAGAATTAATGAGAGCTATTTTTAGCCACTGGTCCCAGAGCGGTCAAAATTGAATAAGGTTCTGCCTCGCCCCTGAGCCACACTTCAGCATAAAATCCATTCTTCTACTTTCTGAATTGAACACTTTGCTAATATTCCCTCAAACACCTCCAAGGAGCACTTATGTTTTTCTTTTTAATTGGACGAGAGTCTGGTCTGTGGTCTTCAATTTTAATGATGCTCCAAACAAAGTTTATTTAAAATTAAACAGTGTTTTAACTTTGCTCTGTCTGGTTTGTTTTAGGCTACATTTGTGATGACTCATTCAGTTGCTGGGTTTTTCTCCAAGGCACAAGAGACACTTTACTCTTTTTAAGTTCTAACAACTTCAAAGTTATTGTTTATAATCCTTTTTATAGAAAAGCATTTCACAGCTTTCTTGCTGTACGGCCAGTCATCTGAATTGTTTTCCATGTTTTGTTTTACAAAGGTTTACTTAAGTCTTTGGCACTGTCATAAGTTAACCACTGGAATATGTCAAAATGAATTGGTGTAGTTTTAACATAAAAGTAAACCGCAATTTACATTTATATTTAGGTTACATTATTGCTTGAAAGTGAGAGTTTTACTAAAATAATAATGTACCTCAATGGCTAACATTTTTGGCCTCTTCCTCCATGCACATGAAGTGATCATGTAGCAGTTCATTTTTGGAACAGCTTGTAACTCTTTGAAATTCTGTTGTACTGTTGTACTACTCTCCTGATGTAACCTCTCCCTTTTAGAAGTTCTCTGGTGTGTAATTATTTGGAGGACTATGTGGAGCATGGTTTTAGATTGTCCTAGATCCCTCTTGTCCATTTTGCCCATCATGTTTCTGTCCCAAGCTCTCAGCTGGGGGGGTCCATCTGTGCTTGAGTCGATGTTCCCTGGTCTGGCTCCTGGTGCTGGGTGTAATCCCTCGAGCGTGACCCAGGCAGGGTGCAGTGTGTCTGGGATGTGGAGGCTGCCAGGCCTGGCTCTGGCCTGTGGAGCTTCTGTTGGCATCACTCTTCTGTCTCTCTAAAGCATGGACCAAACGCTTGAGCCTCTAAGCCTTTTGACTCTTTTCATGTTTGGGAAAAGTGTGGGGTGCATTCATTTTGGATAATTGTCTTTTTTGTGACTTGCTGTGACTAGCCATCAAAATGTAATTTAATGGGTATAACTGCCATCAATAATGGAGTAAATTATTCTTTCAAGTTGTTGCATCATGCTTCTTTTTTGTAGAGATTGTGTAGCCTGACGTTACTTCACAAGTTTGCAATAACATCAGCTTAGAGCAGTTTAGCACAATAGATCACGAAAAGATTGTTATTGCATTACAAACTGCATATTCAAACTAGATGTTGGGCTGACAAAATTTCCCCTCTAAGTTTGCAACTTCTTAGTTTGTCTTCTCTGAACACAGATTTGCTTTTAAAGCTGTTGTTGCTTCCGATATGAAGTGCTCCAGATCACATATTATGTACTCTTGCCACTGCATATGTGAAAGGCCTGTAGTTGTTTTAAATTCGTGTGTTGTTTTAAAGCGTCCACAGTTTGAGAGTTGAACCTTTCGACATGGCCTGGAAATGTCAGGCCTATTGAACAACACCACGCTGTTCCCCCTCTGTTACCAGAGCAACACTCGGCAGGAGGAGGAAGCACAATTACATCCTCTCCAACTGAAAGGTGTGTGGAGGAGAGCGAGCACAATGTAGCCTGCTTTGGTTCCCAAATCTTTGCCGTTGTTCTTTTTTCACGTTGGCCTTTCTGTAGTTGCCATACAAAGTCAGGTTTCCTTGTTATGTTATTATTCACAGATTGTTTCTGCCAAATGCCCTCCCTTGTGCTGGATTAGTGCTTCTTGTCTCACTCATGTGGCTAGGTTCATAAATGTTCCAGCTGCTGTACTTTTTTTTTTTTTTTTTTTTTTTTTTTTAGTTGGAGGTAATGTCAAGAAGGCCATATTGAAATAATTTGAACTTTGAACTTGAGGCTACAAGAATGGTATGGAGGAACACCAAAGATCTATGGCAGCATGGTGGCTAGCACTTACACCTCACAAGCAAGAAGGTTCAGTATTTGACCCCTAGGCCACTCAGGGCTTTTTCTCTACTTCTCTCCATGTCTGGGTGACTTTTTTCAGACACTCTGGTTTTCCTCATCAACCCAATGGGTAAAATCCTCAATCCAAGGTAGTCCAAGTCTAGCACAAGATCTGGAGATGGGTTCTCGGCTCTACACTGTGGCGCCTACTGCTCCTGACTGCCCTGGTGGCATGAAAGGATGGGCAAAATGCAGAGAAAAAGGATTAACCGTTATAGTCGCTAATTAATACATAAAGAAGTCATTGTGTTGTAATTGACGTTATTTTTCTTGTGTTGAATGAAGCCTAATAAACACCTCTCTAGCACCTTTTCTCCCACCTCCCTACTTGTTTGCACGATTTACCTTATGGAGCATTTTATGTTTGCACTTTAAAAGCCAATAAAAGCCTAAAACACAGGAAACTGAACCTTGTTTCAATTTACACCTAATGTGGCATTTGTTTTCCATCAGCACTTTCTTTCTGCTGATGGAGACAAAGGCATAAATAAGCCACTGCACAGAGTAAACTTTCCAGTGCCGACTTTGTGCCAGTGATCCCAACAGTGTATTAATATTCCGATGTCTTTCCCGTCGGCTGCAGGGACTTCCCTTGTTCAAACTTTGGTTCACCCTGCTGTCTGACATAAGCTGCTTTTGGAGATTGCCACTGTTGCTGCCAAGCCTGGACCGTCTGGGGCCACTTTTGGTGATTCATTCAACTGCCCACATTCCCACACTGTTTTCCCTTCACAAATCCCATAGGACAATGTGCTGGGAGCAAGGCTGAGGTGGTACAACAGTAAAAACAATACATTTTCATGTTAGTTTATTTATATTAGCAAATAATCTGTATTAGGGCTACTGGATTATGGAAAAAATCATTAGGATTATTTGGGTTATAATTGACACACACAATTATCAGAACAGAATAAACATGTTTTATTTTGTTTGTTTTTTTAATCATTCACAATTAAAATGTCATTAATTGTACAGCTCTAATCTGTATCGCTGAATAATAAACAAAATGAATGCCCAAAAGTAAATCCCTATTCTTTGTATTTTAACATTCAAGACAGTATTGGATAATAATACCCCATGCGTTTCTAATATAGTACCAAACTAGCACTTTCAGTCTTTTGCCTGGACTCCATTAAATGTGTAATCAAACAAATTAATGTTGCATTGCGTGTGTCCAACATTTTTGTATCATTATCACTTTGGGGACCTCTAATGGACCACGCCATTAGCCCCTTGTCAGTTTAATTAAGTTGTAAATTAATCGCTAATAAGCAGAACTGACACATTACTGTCGTGTGGATGTCCAGTTGCTCTAACTGTTTTAAATGACAATCTATCACCCTTCACACAGCGTTTATTATGCTTTAATATAGAGCTACATTGGAGCCACTGCTGAATGAGCCTCATGTCTTGAGTGGTTCTAAGTGTCAGTGAAATAGCCCATGAAACAACATAAAAACGGACTGTTGAGGGCAGATACTTGAATCGAATTACGTGAGAAAAGGGGTTTCTGTGTCCAATTGTATCCTGTAGTAATACTTCTCAAAGCAAGGAACATCATATATTTTTCACAGCTATTGCACATATTGGGGCTGAATTATTAATCTAAATTGGATGGTAGTTTGAATGGTTGCAATTGGAAAACAAGAAGACTACAGTTTTTAAGTTTTTTTTTTGTTTTTTTTTTAGAACATATTTGTTGAGAATAAAAATCTTGTTCAGTTGTTTGACCTCTGCAAAACATCTTAATGTATTGATTTTTGTAGTACTTAAGCAGTTTAATTCCAGTGTTCTCTCAAATGTTGGTCCTATATGTTAAGATTGTGTATTTTTTTATTAAACAAGTTCACAACAGTGCAGCCAATCACAATTAATTACATGCTATATGAAAGTGTGCTTTTTTTGAGACCTGTATCTAACGTGTTGAGGTGAAATGGCAGAGCAAAGGTGTGGTCTGTAGAGAGAGAGAGAGACAGGGGCTTTGTGAGACAGTGCACAGTGCTGACCCAACAGCCCAAGGAGCTGACCTTCATCCTCTCCTCTGTGGTCTTTAATGCGACACAAGCTGCGTTTTAATTTCCAGACTTAGTGACAGAGTGACCTCGATGCAGCCCACAGTCTTTTATCATCACTTTCATTTTTATTCAGGCCCTGAACTGGACACAGAGTAAAAGAGCAGCTTTGGACCAGCATTTGCATGTTAACTGTTGGCAGTGTCGGGTTATGATCACTGAGGCGTGCTCTCTAGGAAGGTGGTCCTAATAAAGTTTACATAAAACAATGATGTGCTATTTATACTTTATGCTCCTATTAACGTGCGATTTTCCACTTAGTTGAGTTTAAATTCTGCCTTTGAACTTAAGAATGTTTTATATGGGTGACAATAAATACTGATACACTGATATAATCTTGACACTTTATTGATCATATTCAAGAAGGGATTCTTTATTTCTTATTGTCTGTGAAGTTGTTGTGTATCTACAGACAGGATAATACAAGAATGTTCAATAATTCATCTATTTGTATATGTATATGTATATATGGCCCTTACTAGTAATGTGATCTTATAATGTTTTAACCATTTCCTGTTTTGTTTTATAGAGTGCAGCAATGGAGGAGACTGTCATTTGGGAACAGCACACAGTAACACTGCACAGGGTCAGTATCGGAACAATAAAATCAAGCCATTCTACATACTATAATAGACCGCTCATAGATACATTGGCAGTTCCATGTTAAATGTTCATCTCTGCAACAAATAATGTGTGTTTATTTTTCTTTCTTTGTTTGTAGGCACCAGGGTTTGGTTTTGGGATTGCCATATCAGGAGGTCGGGATAACCCTCATTTTCAGAGTGGCGAGACCTCCATTGTGATCTCAGATGTGCTGAAGGGGGGCCCAGCTGAGGGACTGCTGCAGTGAGTTATTACACCACTGTCTGATTAGTCATTTTGTAATAAATGCCCCAAATGTCTAGCCCACAGATACTCAGCATGTGTTGTCTCTCAGGGAAAATGACAGAGTGGTTATGGTCAATGCCGTGTCCATGGACAATGTGGAGCATGCCTACGCAGTCCAGCAGCTTCGCAAGAGTGGGAAAATCGCCAAAATTGTAAGTGTCATTCTTCTATTACATCTCACTCAATCCTGCGAGGAAATGAAGTTAAAGCTGGTGTGAATCGATAATGACTTGAGTTTGTGCTGTGCTGTTGCTTTTGTGAGCACCATTTTGTACAAATGTTCACTATTTAAGAAGTTTGATTCTGATTTATTATAAATGACTCTGTCAGGTTGATCTCATCTTTGTTTTCCACTAGACAATCAGAAGGAAAAGGAAGGTGCACGTCCCAATGGGTCGACTCGGGGAGAGGGAAACCATGTCAGAGCATGATGAAGAGGAGGATAGCTATGACGAAGAGATCTATGAGACGAGGAGTGGCCGCAGCGGGGCTTATAGCATGGGGGCTATGGGAAGGCGCAGTGGGCGGAGCAGTGGACGGCGGGACAGGGAACGAGAACGAAGCGCTTCACGAGAGAGGAGTCTGTCCCCACGCACAGAACACCGCTCGCACAATCTGCCCCCACGCCCCTCCAAGGTCACACTGGTCAAGTCCCGCAAAAATGAAGGTGAGGCTCGTAATGTCGGGGAATATGCAGCGGGGAGAATGCACTTATTAACTAAGAAAGTCATTTTGTAATCTCTCAGACTACACTCTGTCACTCTAGTATTAATGTCCAGGCTAAATGATAAACTGATGGTGGCATACATTACCTTGTCAGTTGATGTCTGTGTCCAATTTGTTTTTAACTTCTCTGTTCTCTCTTCTGTTCCCTCTCTCTCAAGTTTAGATCCAACTTAAGTCACTATTGGTGAATTGCCAAAATAAACAAAACTTGCTTGTCCATGCAAAAATCTTAAAGTAACTCTGGGAAATCTAAGTAAAAGCGCAATTAATCTTCTTAAATCAGTGGCGTTAATCCCAGCTGGGAAACTATTGGACATCCCACAGAGGATGTCATGTAAACCCTATGCTAACATGCTAACGTGCTAACATGCTCTTTGTTGTTGTCGTTCACTCTGTAAGCAGAATATGGCCTGCGCCTGGCCAGCCACATCTTTGTCAAGGACATTTCCCCTGAGAGCCTCGCAGCCCGGGACGGCAACATCCAGGAAGGAGACGTTGTACTCAAGGTGAGCTTTGACCACAACCTCTCAAATGTAGGATAGTAAAATTGCCTTTTCTGTTCTGTTTTGTATTTGTGGGTGTCGCAAATTCAACATTGCAGCTATTTCTGTTTTGATGTAGCTCAGGTCTCTTTGGAGAACATGTAGCACTTAAAAGGTAGAGCTTTATAAAGGGAGTCTCTTTTGGGCTTTGATTACAAGAGGAACAAATAATCATGGCATGTTTTTATGTGATTACACATGATGATTACTCCCTTACACTGATTGGGTCATTGACTGCATGCATTTGTGTCAGGGGTGCGGTAAATTAGTGTTGTCTGATGTTTTGTTCTTATGTGGAATTTAATTGTCTTTTTTTTTCTTTTTTTTTATAATATCTCTAAGTGACTATGGTCTTCTTCTGATTTCTCCAGATAAATGGCACAGTGACTGAGAACCTCTCCTTGATAGATGCCAAGAAACTGATAGAAAGGTCAAAGGGCAAGCTAAAAATGGTGGTTCAGAGGGACGACAGAGCGACCCTGCTCAACATCCCTGACCTCGATGACAGCATTCCTTCAGCCAACGCCTCAGACAGAGACGGTGAGCACAGCACTGGCTCTAAACACACTATCAAATGGGTGAAACAGGTCTGATATTTTTATTTGGAAAATCGAGAATTCACATTTGTGAAATGACAAAGCAACACCTTTAAAATCTTTGCAAATTTACAGTACAGTTGGAAAGGATATGAACTTGGATATTTGCTTTTCAAAATCTTCAAATAAAAGTCCATCTGAATTTGTTCATGATGTGATAAATGTTGATCTGAAATGTGCATAACTTTAATGTGTACTGCAATCCCGAACATTCACTGACTTACAACTCTCAGTAACTCTCAACTACTTTTTTCCAGACATCTCAGACATCCATTCGCTTGCCTCAGATCATTCCAATCGATCACATGAGCGGCATCGAAGCAGTCGCTCCCGCTCTCCAGACCGACGCTCTGAGCCCTCTGACCAATCCAGACACTCCCCTCCACAAATCAGCAACGGCAGGTACAAAATGCTTGATAAATTTTTCAGCCATTGTAATTCAAATTCCCCATTGAACAATAGAACTGCATTATATTAACTACCGCATGAGTCGACAGTCATTTCATTCACCTCCTTAACATAACATTATCTTAAGATTACTTTGCCATTACATTGCCAATAGGACACAATAACAAAAATTTTACATAGATGTCATTTTTTTCATTTCATGTGTTTCTAGTCTAAATATTGACGCATTTTGTAGTGTTCAAAGACAACTAAAGCGTCTATTTTATCAAGCTGAATTGCTTTCGAACTGGTTGTCAGTGTTTACCTCACATTGCAGGAAGCTGGCATCAGTGGCAGTCCCTTCTCGAGGAACTGCTTTTTCCCCTACCCCTCTTTAAAGGGGCTTTCATTGTTGTTGTTACTGGGTCTATGAGTGCTTTTTGCCAGAATAAGACTTGTGCCAGAGTGGAACAAATTGTTTCCCTCTAAGTTACAAATGAACTTTGTTTACACTAATCAGATTGACACCAAAATTATTAATCTTTTAGATCAGAATGGCCATGTACCCCCTAAGGTGTTCGGTGTACTTGAAGAAAATGTTTGTGGATGCCGTAATAATGTTTCTTTATGTAAAGTATGTGCAACATCAACTTCTAAACTCCTTAGCCTTCTTATCAAATGGATATAAGATGCCAATTTTTGGTTAATTCCACATACCATAGGGAGTACCTGTACCACAGTTTGGGAATCAGCTTGACTCGCCTCAAGCCCTACATTTGTTTTGACACTATCAGATTTTTAAAAACAGAGCCTCAAACATATGTCAAAGAGCGAAGAGGAAATGTATCATGTCAGCCCATTTTTCCATTTTTATACGGACGAGAATATGTCGTGTGTTGTCAAGATGTTCTCGTCGTTGTCACCCTCAAGCTCTACATCTCCACAATACACTATTTATAACCAACATATTGTCTTTAATCTTTCATTTTCTCCAGCCACAGAAGTCGTGACGACGAGCGCATCTCAAAGCAATCCTCTACACCAGCCAAGCTTTCAGAGGAGGTTTCCCTGCCCAAACCCAAGGAATCTGCACTGACCAGAGAGGACAAACAGCTCCCACCACTCCCAGGTAAAGACAACTCACTAAGATCACTACTCTAAATATTAATGTGCCATTCAATATAAAAAGAGGAAATCCTACGGTTCCAAATCAGCGGGTCACATAAAAGAAATCTTGTCCTTTCTGCCCTTTTTAAGAAGCACAAGTACAAAAACTTGACTCCAGACGCCTGCTGAGCCTGGCTTCGTTTGCCTGGAGCCAAGTGAAAATAAACCATGAGTTGATCGAGTCTGACGTCCCTGTGCAGCCCAGGGCGTTCTGCTGCTTTATTCTGTGACCTCTGCTTAGGATAGTGTGTATGTGCTCACAGTTAAGACTAAGGGACTAAAACTCGTCTGAAGAATTGTAGCATTTGATTTATGCTAATTGCCATTAGCGTCCAAGATCAGCATTAGCTTAACTCGACTCACTTTTGTTGTTTTGTCATTTTCCATTTACAGAACCCAAGCCGGTTTATGCTCAGCCTGGACAGCCTGATGTCGACCTGCCAGTCAGTCCCTCTGACTCCTGTGCCAAGTGCTGCCCACGATGACAGCATCCTACGGTAAACATCTTTTATGGGTATTGAACAGTGGATTAGTGTATTTAAACATGAAGCACCAGTACATTTAAGCTAATGAGGACAAAAAAATTATTCCTATTCCAAAACACCAAGACTCGTTGAATAATGAAGTGTGAGTGTGAGCCACAGTGTTGTGTCCAATTCCATTGTCAGGCCGAGCATGAAGCTGGTGAAATTCAAGAAGGGGGAGAGCGTTGGGCTGCGGCTGGCTGGAGGTAATGATGTGGGCATCTTTGTGGCTGGAGTCCTGGAAGAGAGCCCTGCTGCTAAAGAGGGGCTGGAAGAGGGCGACCAAATTCTCAGGGTGAGCCACTTTTGCTTAATTCACAGTTTAGGGTAAACGCATAAACAACTCATGGATGGTTAAGTGAATGAAGAAAAAAGACTACATAAAAGGTTAGGATTTCTCGTGTGTGTAGTTAAGTTTATTTCCCTTTGGTTTCAGCAATGATGCCCTAACGGTCACTTGAAGCTTTATTTTATAGTCTGTGTTTTGTCATGATTGCGGCTCCCAAATTTCCACAATCTCCTCTTGGATCTCTTAACCGTAACCCCGGAAACTCTGACAAGAATCCTGTTTTTTCTTGTTTACTTTGTTTAAACACCTCACAGCCGTATATCATGCTGTTTGTACCTCCCTTTCCTTTCTTTAGGTATAATAGCTTGAGCTGTTGCAGGCCCATAAACTCTGCAGTTACAAAGGCAGGCACAGAAAGAACCGGCTGTGTAAATCTTATGTCTAAAAGCAGTGGTTGTCAAGCTATAGCCATAAAACATTTCACTATTCAAAATTCATTCTTATTTGAAGACACAATGTTGACAAATGCATGTACCATTGTTGTTTAATATTTTTAAGTGGGTTACAATAAAACTGGCAGGGCAGAATTTGGTTCAGTCCAGTTGGTAAAAGGCTACTTAGCATACAATCTTCATTTGTTTTTCTGTCTCAAACTATAGGTAAACAATGTCGATTTTGCAAACATAATCAGAGAGGAGGCTGTGCTATTCCTCTTGGACCTTCCTAAGGGTGAAGAAGTCACTATTTTGGCCCAGAAGAAGAAAGATGGTAAGGGAAATATTAAGAAACACAACCATTTCTGTTTTTATAGATTGTTTGTTGATGTACTTTGCATTGTTTTTTGTAGTGTACCGCCGGATTGTGGAGTCAGACGTTGGGGACTCGTTTTATATCCGAACACATTTTGAATATGAAAAGGAGTCACCGTACGGGTTAAGCTTTAACAAGGGTGAGGTGTTTCGCGTGGTAGACACTCTTTACAATGGAAAGCTTGGTTCCTGGCTGGCGATTCGCATCGGCAAGAATCATCAGGAGGTGGAGAGGGGGATCATTCCCAACAAAAATAGGTACCACCCTCAATGATTTATTTTGAATATGATATGCCATATTAAAGTTTGTTAAGTTGGTAATCAGACACCATTAGTAATGGTCTGCTTCAGACAATGTCACTATTACAAAGTGTTTGATCACAGAAGCAAGTTATAATGTGTTGTGATTGAATGGCCTCACCTTTTGTCTTACAGAGCAGAGCAGCTCTCCAGCGTGCAATACACACTTCCTAAAACAGTAGGGGGCGATAGGGCAGACTTTTGGAGGTTTCGTGGTCTTCGCAGCTCAAAGAGGAACCTGAGGAAAAGTAGAGAAGATCTATCATCTCAACCAGTGCAAACAAAGTTCCCAGCCTATGAGCGGGTAGTGTTGAGAGAAGGTGAGGTTTTGTTTTTGCCTAAAATTGCAGCTGGTCAATTATTAGTATGACTTTGAAACATAAAATTTGTATATCTTGTTCAGCTGGTTTCCTCAGACCTGTTGTCATTTTTGGGCCTATTGCTGACGTTGCAAGAGAAAAACTAGCCAGAGAAGAACCAGATCTTTTTGAGCTTGCAAGTACGTGTGAGCATGATCACAACAGCATTTAAAGTGTTTTTTAAAGACAGTGTACTCATAAAAGTTGCTTTGCCTTTTATATTTAGAGAGTGAACCAAGAGATGCAGGAACAGACCAGCGAAGTTCAGGCATCATCAGACTTCATACCATCAAACAGATCATCGACAGAGTAAGTACTAAAACTGCACTGTACTACCAATCCTAACCTTAAACAAAAATGTTCATAACTATGTTAATCATTTTAATGTGTTTGAATTCTAGGATAAACACGCAGTGCTTGACATAACACCAAATGCTGTGGACAGACTGAACTATGCTCAGTGGTACCCTATTGTAGTCTTCCTAAATCCAGACAATAAGCAAGGCGTAAAAAACATGAGGACCAGACTATGTCCTGAGTCCAGGAAAAGTGCCAGAAAGTTGTATGAGCGGGCCATCAAACTGAGGAAAAATAATCACCATTTATTCACCAGTGAGTAGAGTTGTGGAAGAGCTATGGATTCATGCTATTGTGGTTTGTCTTGCTTAAAAATCTTTTGCCCTCCAGCTACTATCAACTTGAATAATATGAATGATGGTTGGTATGGAGCACTAAAAGAGACAATTCAGCAGCAGCAGAACCAGCTGGTTTGGGTTTCTGAAGGCAAGGTAATATTCTACCAAAAATGTGAAACACAGCAACACATGTCTCAGCTAAATTGTGGCCTGATTTATGATGTCTTCTTGTGCCCTCAGGCCGATGGCACAACAGAAGATGACCTGGACATTCACGATGACAGACTTTCGTACTTGTCGGCACCGGGCAGCGAGTACTCCATGTACAGCACGGACAGCCGCCACACGTCGGACTATGAGGACACAGACACAGAAGGCGGGGCCTACACCGACCAGGAGCTTGACGAGACTCTGAACGATGAGGTGGGGCTGCCCACGGAGCCCGCCATCACACGCTCCTCTGAACCCGTCAGAGAGGACCCCCCTGTGATCCAGGACACCCCAGGTTATCCTGGATACCAGCACCCGGTGACACCTGACGCTGCCAGTCGAATCGACCCTGCGGGGTTCAAGATGGCTGCTCCACAGCAGGTAATGTTTATGTAGATTCTTGCAATAAGCCAGTGAAACATTACATACATAGCTACTGATGCTGTCTGTTTGGTAGGAATTTGGTTTGGCTGTCTGTCTGTTTGGTCTTATTTGCTAAGTTTCTGAGAGGCCAATAGTTTTGGGCTGAACTGTTCTTTAGGGTGTATGATAAATGTCTGTTAACAATACTTCACAGCAGGATGAGGCTGCTCTGCCTTTGCCCGCTCTGCCTCCCCCGATGGCAGCGCCCTCTGCTGTCGAGCAGCCTGTAGAGCCAGAGGAGTCCAGTGCTGCAGCTCCTCAGGCTGACTCCCTTAGCAGCCCCAGCCCTGCCCCTGAGCTCATTCAGCCCCTTCCACCACCTCCACCACTACACGAGCCCCACCCGTCTGGACTGCCCGGTCCAGAACCAAAGGTACCCCGGACCGGGCCTGGGCCCCAGCCTGCCTTTAACTGCCTGTCTATCGCACATGCTTTCCACTCGCTCTCTGCATGACACGCCCACACTGTGTGCCTCACTGAGCCCACCGTGTGCCTCTGGCTCCCAGAGAAAGTGGGCTGGGAGTCCAGAAGGACTGGTACATCGGAGTCTTTGACCGGGACGAAGACATCCACCAGCCTTAACTACTGCTCTACTTCCTTTGCATGGCTCCTAATGTTTTGGATTCCTTTCAGCTTTAACTCTGTAGATGAAAAAATAGCAGCACTTCAGTGGCACCTTAGAGGTAGATGTGTTGTTTGTTGTAGTGGCAGTAGTTGAACTTTGCATTAGATGCAAACTGAATGTTGGCTGCATGATGACAGATAACCTGCAGACAGTGCCATAGATTTTATCAAGTAAACCTCCCTATGGAAAAAAAAACACCCTTTTTTATTTGCAGACTAGACACTAGGCCTCCTGTTTTGACTGGTAATAAACCAACTTTCTCCATAGGAAGTACTTTGACTCTGCTGTCTACAGGCTACACATCATACGTTTGATATGAGGCCTTTCATAAAAAATGACTTCAATTATTTAATACTTAACACAACTAACCACAAGCTTCCAATATAGCAAAAAAAATCAACTGAAAGGCGTCGTGTCAAACAGGCATTCAGAACAGTTTTCTAAGAACAACATTTGCTTGTGTAATTTGCACTTGGTGTTACCTATATTAATGATTTTAATGATTTATTTTTTTGGTTAAGTGTTGTGTTCAAATAAGATATTTGACAATAGTTTAATTGAAAATCAATTTATAAGACTTTTTCTATTAAGGCTCATGGTAACATTTTATACTGTATATGTTGCATAGTAATTTCTATACTGTTGCCTCTTTCCAGATGTACAAGAAAGACCTGTACAATATGGAGGACCCGGTTCGAATCAACCACGGCATGAAGCAGTCTCTGAGCTATAGTCATCAGCCGACGACGTATCAGGACAAACAGCCATACCGCGAGTACGACCACCCGCCTTTCGGCTACGACGGGGGCGGTTACACAGAACCAAAGTCTCACAACTCTGACTCTCACCTGCACTACGACAACAGAGTGCCTCATTTCAGCGAGCAGTGGCCCCCTTACGACCAGCAGACCTCACAGCCCTCGGGGTACCAGCCTCCAGCCCACCAGCAACCTCTGGCCTACAGCCCCCGGTCCCCCTACGAGGACGGACCAGCTCGGGACTACAGCCCCACTCAGCCGCGCTATGACGACTCCTCGCCCATGGGCTACGACGGACGGCCACGCCACAGTAAATCTGGGCCTCTCCGTTATGACGAGCCCCCGCCCCCTCCTCCCCCCTCATATGACGCTCGCTCTCCATATGACGCAGAACCTCACACCTTCCCGATAAACTCCCCCCGCTCTCCGGAACCACCCAAACAGTATTATGGTGACACAGGGCTGAGGTCTGCTTACGTACCAGGCCCAAACAACCGGCCGTACAAACAAGGAATGCACGAAGCAATGATGAACTCTGAACCTCCGCTGCCCCCTCCTCCCAACTTAGAGTCCTTACCATCTCCGAGTGAGCCAGCGGTCACACCCAAACCCCTGCCCCCTCCCCCCAGAGAAGAGGAAGACGACCCTGCTATGAAGCCCCAGTCGGTACTCAACAGAGTCAAGATGTTTGAGAACAAGAGGTCGGTCTCTATGGACAGGGCTAAAGACGGGATTGAGTCCTCGGCACTCAGGGTGAGTCTGATGGTTGCTTCTTAGGCTTACTTCAACCTCCCTCAAAAGTTCAGATGAATTACAGAGCACTATTGGGAGAAAAAAAAAATCAGTTGTATGTGTAAATTGTCTTATTTTATGCCATATAGCCATTGGTTAATGATGTTATTAATTCTGGTAGTTGTGTAGACTTTTCCTAAATAACATTAGGACTAGGGGAGAAAAAAGTGTGAAATACAAGTGTTATAAAAGAAGCACTAAAGCCGACCTCTGTCTTCCAGCCTGCAGATGTTCCTAAACCTGTGAGTGCACCTGGCCCAGTCTTCAAAGCCAACTCCCTGAGCAACCTGGAGCAAGAGAAGTCCACCTATAGGTATACAGTCCTCATTACAGCACACACAGCACACAGCAGAACAGGGCAGGAGGAGCTGGTGAAAGACAAGCTTCTACACTGCTCCATCTAGTGGCAGAAAGCTGAACAACAGCAGAAATTTGTGAAGTCAGTTGTATTCAACAGAAATTTGCATCGGAACAGACTACTTATTTTTTACCATTTATTATTGTTGTTTTCTTACAATGTAAGTGAGATTATATCTTATAATTTTGGTGCTTTTATAGTTGTAAGGTGTATTAAATGCACTAACCTAACAAACCAAGTTGAATGACCTGATATTGTTACATTATGGTTTTATTAATCCTATTCATCACTTTGTGCAGGACTCCCGAGCCCCAGAAGCCTCACACTAAACCTTTAGACGATGTAGCACGCACCAATCACTACGACGCTGATGAAGATGAGGAGTATTACAGGAAACAATTGTCTTATTTTGATCGACGGAGCTTTGACAGCAAAGCCATGGGACAGCCCGCTCCTGGCATCAACCGCTTCCATGACCTGCCCAAACCAGCCCACCACTCCTACCCATACAACAGGTAACATAGTCGATACTGCAGCTGTGCTATTATCAAAAGCATTTATTTACACAGTTTTTTTTTTTTGCTTTAGAGTGGAGTCTATGGAGAAACTTAATCCAGTGGAGAAGAGATATGAACCTATGCCTCAAATCAGCCCCTCTTCACAGTATGGAGCCCCTGCTCCAATGGTCCCACCAAACACCTTGCCCAAACTCAGTCCGAATGAAGGTAATTAAGACTTAATGGCAACATAATGGATCCAAATTATACTTCCAAGGTTTTTAGGCTGAGTTTCTAAAGTTTATGTTCAGAATAATGTCAGGTGTAAAAATACTAAACACTAAATCATCGGGCAAATCACTGCATGCCTGAAGTGGTTGACTGGTTGCTATGGCAACCCCAAAAGGAAAAAGTATAAAATCATAAAGTTAACAATACAGGAAAATATTTTTCTCTCAATTTAGATAATTTGGTTGATTAACAGTATTGGTGCCTTCATAATCTTCTAATAATCAGTTTTACACCCGCTAATGTGTACATCTGTTTTTCAGTGAACTCAGTACCTGAACCCTTGGCTTCACCTAATCCTAAACCAGATTTGTCGGCGCTGAGGCCGCCCAGTCGGGACGAGTCCACAGCTTCAGGATATTTACCCACGAGAGGCATCGCCGACAACAAGTCCCCGGTCAATGGCACAGACCCTGCTCCCCCAAAGAGTGCCCCTGCTCCAACTAGCTACAACCGCTATGTCCCCAAGTCTTACACCAGCGCAGCCCGGCCCTTTGAAAGGAAGTTTGAGAGTCCAAAATTCAACCACAACCTTTTGCCCAATGACACAACAGTAAAGTCGGACATCCTGAGCATCCCTGGGGTGAACACTGTGGGGAAGCCTCAACTGTCTCCTCAACCCCTGGACCACGACAGCGGCCTGGACACATTCACACGCACCATGGACAACCGGCCCAAGTACCAGCACAACAACATCAACGCCATCCCCAAAGCCATTCCTGTCAGGTAAGGTGCTGCACTGTGATGGTGGGTGGGTTTGCTTTTTTTTTTACCGACTGATGGATAGAGTTATCTCTTGAGTTGCTACCAATTGGCTGCTGCTGGTTTTCAAATACAAGGGTTAGTTTTGTAGGCTCTATGTAACCTTGTCAAATAATAACAGTTTTTAACTAGTTGAAACATTTGGCAAACCATAGCTTGAGAGTGTCTGTCTATGTGATGAAGTATCGCAATTTTTTATTTATTTTTTTCAAAATAAAAGCATGTTGTCATTAAGTCAGTATGAATACAAGTACATCATACTAACACACACTTCAGTGTAAGAGTCATCATATGCATTTAAATCTCACTCTATATATTGCATTACTTACACTGAAGGAGCTCAATCTTGCCCCCTCCCTCAGGCTCTGCTCTAGTGCCCCTGCACATTAGCCTCACACTCCAGCCCTGACACACTTCTGTTCCCCCACAGCCCGAGTGCACTGGATGATGACGATGAGGACGAGGGGCACACAGTGGTGGCGACGGCGCGGGGCATTTTCAATTGTAATGGAGGCGTCCTGAGCTCCATCGAGACCGGAGTCAGCATCATCATCCCCCAAGGAGCCATCCCCGAGAGTGTGGAGCAGGAGATTTACTTCAAGGTGTGCCGGGATAACAGCATCCTGCCCCCGCTGGACAAGGAGAAAGGTTGGTCTTTCCAGGAGGACACGGTGGCACCATGAGTTTGTTTTTCAAGTACTGTGAATGTGAATCTGTTTGTCTGTAGAGTTCTAAACCAGAGTTAGCTTTTTCACTCAGTAATGATGGTCTTAATTTGCCTGAAATAATTCCTGATCTAAAATGAAAACTGTGTATGTGTGCAGGAGAAACGCTGCTAAGTCCGCTGGTGATGTGCGGCCCACATGGACTGAAGTTCCTGAAGCCGGTGGAGCTGCGCTTACCTCACTGTGCGTCTATGACCCCTGATGGTTGGTCTTTTGCTCTAAAATCCTCCGACTCCTCGTCGGGTACGCTGTCCTCTCTCTGTCCTTCGGGTCTGTGGCTTGTGCTGTGATTAGTGACCAGTGTTTTCCTGTTAATAGAGGAGACTATTGTGGGCCCATCATTTATTCTAATTTAAAATCATCTCCCTTATAGTCTGAAACCAGGCTGAAAAATACATTTGTATTACAAATTATACCTTTTGTTTCCTGTTATTAAAAATATTTCCTGTTATCAAAACTATTTAACCAGTTTAACCAAGAATATAACAAGTGACATTGCCACTTTTAAGGAAGTCTAAGGATCATGTCTGCCACAGTAGTCACAGTAGAATACTATGGGAAGCACTGTGTCACTGTATTTCAATCACCTGTTTCCACATTCCCTTCATTCCTTTATTTTCTATTGTTTCACCATTGACGCCTTCTTTCTTCATGGAATGCATACTGCATGCCTCATTTTTATTTCATGACAAATCAAGTTACTTAAAAAAATATATAGAAATAGTAGAACAGAAATAACAACATTGTGTGTACTTGTTGCTCCAGTTGGCTCTTGTGAGCCTATTAGATCCACATTATTTAAAAAAAAATAAAAGCACAAATCTTTCAGTCTCCTTGAACTAGCAACTGTAATTGAGGTGAATGTGAGGGAAAGGTCACAGTGAGTGTAATCAAACACACACAGGAAAATCGTGTTTTTCAAGATCCAATAATGATTTTGTTTTTGTAATCACATACTCCAAAACAAAGGCAGTGCTGAGTGCATAAAGAGGCCCATACAAGTGTTTACTTCACCACAAATGGCCCTCTTTAGTTGTAGAATCATTCATATAAGGCTCCAAGCATGTTGTTTATTATTTGCACACTTTTGTTTATACATCAGTTCCAGTGCCCCTGGATTTTTCTTCACACAAAAAAATGCAATTACAGGTAATTGCCTTACAAATAAGAGTATTGCATTTAATTCAAAGAATCCACATTCCATATGTTATTATATTTATAAACTGTGTGTTCCAGTTTATAGCCATAACAAAGAACAGTTAACTCTGGAGCAAAAGTAAAGTGAAATCAAAGATCTTGGGCACTAAGTGCTTAGAGTACCGTTAGTACTATGAGTACTAGGATTAGGTTAGACATATAATTAGGCGGTTAAATCAGCTGAAAACTGTATTGTTGGTGTAGTATTGTGCATGTACTGTATAGGAATCATGGGAGTTTCATTCATTGTAGAAATTTGAGAAGCTCCCAGCAGCTAAAGTTACGCACTGTCTTTATCTCCCCCAGGTGATCCCAAAACGTGGCAGAACAAATCTCTCCCTGGAGACCCCAACTACCTGGTGGGTGCAAACTGTGTGTCTGTGCTCATTGACCACTTCTGAAGAGGGCGACAGCTGGCCTGTTACTGAATGTGAAAGACAGGGGGCGCTGTGACTGCCCCACTCTGCCCCTTCAACAGGATGAGGGCATAAAGCTCAATGAAGTACGAACTCAATACTCACATGTTTACTGTGGCCGATCTGAAAACAGAAAAAACCTCCACACAAGGAGAGTCTGTGGAGTCCTCACATTTAGGTCCTTTTTCATAAATCTTTTCCTCCGGTGCTTTGAAGGCTTGCAAAAAATAAAGATTAAAACAAGTTATTTAAACAGTGGGACTGAAGTTGGAAATGCATGACCAGTGCCACAGACTGAATGAACTCATTTTGACATTTTTAGCAAATTTTGTAAACGGTCAGAGCAGTGTGAGAAAAAGGCGATTTTTGGAAACTTGTTTTTGCGTACTGTAGAAACTGTCCCTCACAAACTGTAAAGTTGTTCAATGCTAAACTTGAGTTTGTGAGCAGGTCGGTCATGCGTTTCACTCCTGAAGAATCTCTGAAGACTGGAGAAATGCTGAGCCAGACTGATGAAGGAAGACGTAGGAATATTTAAAAAAAAAATTCTAAATGAAGGTTAAGTATTAGTACCAGAGACGGGGCTCTCTGTTTAACACTGATGTTTTGTAGCAACGTTTTACCGTAGATAAATATACTGACTTGATTTTACAAACTCCTGCTGTCTAGAGATCTATGCATGTGCTATGACTCAGGTCCAAAAACCTGCGACTACTAAGTTCAACATGAAAACCCCATCGTACACTGCAAGCAGTGATGCCTTATCTGCATATTAACTTTTCAGTGAATCGTTCAAACATTGGATCCATGAGTTCAACCTGATCACACCTGGAAGAAAAAGTTGTCTGTTGCATTTTTCCTAAAGCAGTGAACTTGGATTAGCACACTCGAGAATAACTGAGGCTGATGAAAAGGTATGCTTTCTTTTACTGCTATGCATATGAAGTCTGAGGAAATTCAAAAAGCTAGAAGATGTTTAAAATGTGGCTGTACATATTGCTAGCATATGGCCTTGGTTCTCTGTAAATGAACTTTTGTACATCTTTGTTATTTTGTATAAAAGAGAAAATGTTTGTTTAAAAAAGAGGTCTAAGCGGTTACGTTGGTGATGTTTGTATTCTGGTTATACCCTGAGCCTTGGAACTGACATAAGCAGTAATAAACCAGACTTTTCTACCTACACCCACTATACCACACACACTACTTAAGGCATTTTTAACGGTCAGAAAACTTTTTATTCTTATTTACAAACTAGAGAAGTGCTTGGTTCAAATGATTTTAAAAGATGTACTTGAGGGGGTCTGCTTGAAGAGTGGTCCCTTTTGTTTATTTGTGATACTGGATGCTGTATTGTGTGCCCTGAAATGTATTTTTGTACTAATAGACAATTTATTATGGCACATCAGTACGACTTTTCTTTTGATATGACAACACTGCTTCAGACTGACACTAGTTCATTTTACTGTGTGGCTGACATTATTTTTTATTTATTTTAACGTTTTTTCCGTTCAAGTTTTTTTTTTCCTCCGTTTGCGACACATTTCTAAGTATACCACTGTATTAATAAATAAATTCATTTTTAAAGTACGATTTTCTTGGAATGTTGTGTTACTTTTGAATATGTCTTGAACAATTTGTGGACACACCCGCTCTGTTAAAAGAATTCTTGTGGGATGGGAAACTGGCTGCGTTAGTGATATTCAGCAAAACATTTTTTCCACATCAGCTGCATCTAAATGTTATCCAAATGTCAAAAGCTTTAGAACGCTAATACTGATACTTTGCAGTGAAATCACGCTGGGGGTGTTCCACATGTATTTCTAATGGTGAAATGGTTAGGAGTTACCATCGTGACACAGTGCACACATTTGCAAACTGACAGAAAAGTTTTAAGATTGTCTGAAAACTAAAAAAAACAAAAACTAAATGGATTTAAACAACACATTTGCTCACAACAACTACACAGTCACACTCACAAAATGTTGAGTGTGAAAAACCGAAAAACGTATGTGGCTATAATTTTATATGCGAGAGCAGTTTGACTAGACGTCCTTATTTGGGACAATCCCAGTTTTGAGCTCTGTGTCCCCTGTCCCAGCAGATTTATCCAAAACTAGTGATTTGTCCCAGTTTTATACAAAAAACGTCCCAGTTGTCCCTATTTTTGACCAATCTGATCCCTGCCAACAGTAAAGAGAGGCATTAATTGTCCTTTGTTTGGGTAAAATAGAGAAAAGCTGCTTTAAAATGACCAAAACCCAAAGAAAACGTGACTACTGACTCACATTAGTGCTAAGAGTATAACAATTAATTATTACGCACTCGTTTCACAATTTTCTTAATTCCAACCACCCCAAACCAGGGGTGTCCCAGTTTTTTATTTTGAAAATCTGGTCACCCTAGCCTATGCGAGAGACTTGCTTAACAGAACAAATCGGCTCACCTGTTGTAGTTCCAGCTAAGTCAATTCTTTTTGTGTTTAAAAAAAAAAAAAAAAGCTCTGAGTGAAATCTAATAAAGCCTCTGACAAAGCCGAACCTTCATTTAGCTTCACACCCCCAGGGAATGTTGATGGCATCAGCTGCAAAGTATCAAAACATGTTTCACAATCGAAGATTCTCATTCAAGAACAGGCCACAACCAAGGCATTATCCCATTTTATTGAGGTATTTAGTATGGTTTCAAAACTTCAGCGGCGAGCCATAGCAGTACCACCTACAGTCTGACCAAAATAAACAGTATAGGATAAATAAAGCTGACAAAAATATATTCACTCTTACTTCAGAATCATTTAAGCTTATCACAGGTTCAGCAATTGCATCATAAAAGTTATTTAGGGTGAATTGCTTTTCCATTGCCAAAAAAGAAGTACAAAACAATGATACTGATTGTTAGTTAAAACTGCCCAGAAAAAGTAAACATACTCATGAGGCAGACAAGTTGAATAGAATCAAGGCAAAGCTTCACCAGCCAGTAAACAATTATCAATGATAGAAAATATACAAATTATAGAAAATGCAAATATGCTTTTGGCCATTCAGTTAGCATAGCACAAAGTAGTCTGATAACGGTTAAATCACATTTTGTATCACTGCTGCTGCCTTCACCAAATAACATGTAATCAAATACTCGACTGCTGTGACTGTAGACTGGAGGGACTAGCTTAATATAAACACAGGAATAACTACAATTTCAGACATTTACAAACCATGAACCGGCTTTTTAGATACATATTTTGAGCCATTTCAGTTTGTACCCGTGGTATAAGCACATTAAACAAATAAATTTGAGCCGTGTGTTTGGCAGTTTTAAAACATGCTATGGACTCCAAATTATGCATTAAAACTGAATAACACACGGCTCCTTACTTGGCCTTTAACCCTATGTCTCAGAAGTGTTTCAATGTCCGTCCTGAGTTAGAGGGTTGTTGGACAATTGAAAACAAGATTAAAGAATAATTTGTGTTAAAGTTTGATTTCCCTGGACATTATGGCATTGTAAATCTCTTCAGTGAGAGGAACGTATGACTTTTTATCTGTATCCAGAAAATAAAGAGGGTCTGAGATGTCCGCAGGGTTAAATCCTTCCTTCACTAACTTCACTTTCTTCATCTTGAATGTCCCAGTCATTTCCAGACTCGTCTAGACAACAAAAAGACCATTTTAAGTCAATAACAGAAATGTAAAACAGTATTTGTGTGTGTGTGTGTATGTGTATGTCAAAAAGATAAATCATTAATATGGTTAAGTCTGAGGTTGCTGACGGTCTTGAGGACACAAACAGAGCCGGGGGAACTGAGGATGCACTTATCACTGTCACACACTGGATTAACAAACGTCTCAAGAGAATGCTAGAGTTCTTTTTTCTGATTTCAGCTCCGCTCTTATCACTGTAAAGCCTTATCTGATCATTCACAAGTTAACTGATTTAAATGTCAGTCCTTGTATTCTAAAATGGTTTTATTCATTTTAACAGATTGTTGGCAGCAGGTGTTGGTAAACAGCTCCCTCTGTTAAACAAAGTACAGGCGTCCCACAAGGATGTGTGAAGCCTCCAGTTTTATTTACACTGCACCAACAAGCGTAGAAGCTCACACCCCAGCGATCATCTCACTGCATTTTCTTACTCTGCTCAATGCTAAAGATGGTCCTACAGTGTATTTCAGGGAGATAGACACCTTTAAATCTTGGTGTGATCACCTCGTGCTGAATGTCAAGACAAATAAAAGAAATAATCTTTGACCCCAGTGAGGTAATATCAAACAATAGTGAGCAGCCAAAGCTCAGGGTAGTAATTTAACAGTGCAGGTCTTGCCAGCAGAGATTAAGTTAACTGTGACATATGGCATATCAGCCCCTTAAGACATTCTCCCAACAATATGCTCCACATTCTGGATCCACGTCACACATAGACCTGACAAGTAGGCTACTAGAGCAAATGTCACTTTACTGTTATCTGTGCTGGATCTGTTTGATGTCAATGCACTTTGCACTTTGTGTCCAAGAATAATTCACCCTTGCATAAAAATAAAGTTTATCTTATCTTATCTTACTTAATTACAACTTACCTGTTCTTTCTGTTATATAATAATATGCAATATTGAAGACACAAGTACTGTGTTATATTACATCATTCTTATCATCATAACCCTCGTGACTAAACATTTATGGATGAAACTTGTTTCTCTCTTTTTAAATAAAATAAAATGTTACTATATTTTGTTTCATCTTAAACAAGATCTTAAATATTGAGTGCAAAGAAGAGACCACTACCTGAATCCGGATGAAGCGTGGGCGAGCGTAGGCAGGGAGGTAGGTCACCACTTTTTTGTAGGCGTCAGAGCAGTCAAAATCCTCTCCTTCTTTCAGGGTCACAGACGCCATCCCGATCCGACCCTCGTGACCTTGAATATTTGGAGTTAAAGTGCAAAATGTAGTACTACTGTATTGTATTGGACTTTTACCCTCTGCAATCAGCCAGTCCCAAGTAATTTCTTCTGTACCAGAATCTTAATACAATTGATATATATATCTCTAGACTAAAATATTAATAATGCCACCATTTTATTTTAGTTTAAACCAACAAATCACATCATTGACATGGTAAATGAATACATATATACACCATTAGAATTTGTATTTTGGGGCATTTTATAATTAGTTTTATCAGATTTTGTATTTTAAATGCTGCTGAATTTCCCTTTGAAAAAACTTGCTCATTTTATAAAACTAATCTTACCTTCAACTTTAACTCCATAAACATTTGCTTCTAAAATGCTGTTTGCTGTTATAAGAATGTCTCCAACCTCAGATGTAGCAACGTTTTCTCCTTTCCATCTGAAAAATCATAATATCACTTCATTAGCCAAAATTAGCTGAATTCAAAGAGCAGTGTACCTAATCTAACCTATACTTGCCTGAAAGTGTCCCCCACTCGGTCCATGAAGTAGACAAAGTTTTCAGAGTCAATGAGCATCAGGTCCCCAGTGTTGAAGTACAGGTCTCCTTTCTTCATGACGTCCCGGATTCTCTTCTTCTCAGTCTGGGTTTTGTTGGCGGCGTATCCCACAAACGGTGATCTCAGGGTCACCTCTCCAACCAACAGCCCAGTCTCCCCTGAGGACAACAACCAAATGTGAGATTGTAACTAGAGTTACGTTATACAAAAGTGAACAAAACACAGTTCATTTATTTAGTTACACAATACTAAATATGCTCCATTAAAATAAATTAATACTTTCATATTAAGAGGCACTAAAGTGAAAATGTATGCTCTAATTAGAGAGGTGAAAACACACACACATGCACCATAAGAGCATTGTGTACTTTTAACTATTCTGAATACTAAACAATGAAAGCAGAACTATATCTGAATACAGTTAATCAAAGTTAATATTCTGAATATGTATTATTAGTGTATTATGTACTATTCAACATTGCACATTGTACTCACACAAAACATTATTGCATCATCATACTTGTGAAGGCTTATCTTTAACACCATAATATTCACACTGGATTACTTTTATTGTCTCTGGGACTTTATGAGTCTTTATTAGTGTTTATGTCATCATTGGCTGTGGTTTCATGCTCACTCTGATTATTATCAGATCTTTGCTGAAAGTTTATTTAAATTAAATGTAAACAGCAAAATCATCTGATTTCTTTTTGATCATGGTCCCTCTGAGTACTCACATCAAACTGTGCAGTGTACATGTCCAAGTAATTTTAAAAGGTCTAGAAATCAGATATGAATCAAAATATCAATTCAAATTTAACTGCACAAATGCTTTCTATAGTTTTACCTTTTCAAATTCACAGTTATTATCCAGGTCTATAAATACGGGAAGATGACGAAAAATGTAATAATGGAAGATTATGAAAGGTACATTTATTTTCTCACAGTGACATAAAAGAACATACAGTGGATTGTGGTAGTAGTAGTAGTAGTAGTAGTAGTAGTAGTAGTAGTATTTGGCAAAACTCTGAGCCACAAAAATAAATGTGAACAGTGCTCAGGCCTCATTCAAGCTGCAATATTAGTCCCAAGTTCTCCATATAAATAAATAAATGCATATGTGGCTAGAGCAGATTCCAGGAAAAACATCAGATGTTTCAGGACAGAAAGATGCAGTACTTGGAACAGCAAAGATACTGCACAGAGCCCTTAAGTTTTGGTCAAATTTTGTAGTATTTTGGTTATAGTGTCCTTACCTCGAGACGCCTCAATGCAAAGACCCTCAGAGTTTCGGACTGGCTCCTCTTTCTCAACATCAAACTTGATCAATTTGTGAGGAAAGAAAAACTAAAACAAAGAACAACACAGAATTTGTAAATGTAAATGAACCTTTTTGTTATTCCCGTTTCTGAATTATGCAAATAGCAATAAGTAGCTGGTGTTCCACTCAAACTGTTGAACAATACATATTTCATTACACTGTTAAAATTAAGAAGCCCATGCAAGACAGTTTTACAATTTGGGCCTATATGTTTTTATTAAGGTCTACTTTTTTATGTATACTTAAGTAATTTAAAGTTTTCTAAAAAAAAAAAAACTAAATGAGGACATTGGTGGTTTTCAACTTGTAGAATGTGATGGTGTCATACTCTCAAATGAGATCAAGATGGTTCTTATTGATTACTTTGACATGAAATATCCAAAAGGTAAACTCACAAATGCTGAACCTGTTATCTTCTATTATTTACTAGACCTAAAAAAGTCATTCTAACACAAAGCTAAAAATATTAAAATGACATGTCAGTATTTGCTGGCTACACAAGCACCTTTGGCTCTTACCTTATGCAGTGGGTTAATCCGTCCCACTGGTCCGATCTTGTTGGTGTAGTTGATAAATCCTATGTTCCCCTCAGTGGCTCCGTACAGCTCTCGTATCTGAACATCCCCAAATCGATTCAAAAACTCAGTCCAAATATCCATCCTGGCGCCGTTTCCGATGGCTATCCTCACTCTGTGCTGCTTGTCATTGTCTTTCTGCCAATAAAGATTTACATACTCAAAACAGGAATTAGGGTCAGATAATCCCACATTATAATCCCATATAATCCCACATTATAATACTAAAATTTGCGTTCTTACCTTGGGAGTATTGCAGAGATAGCGCAGTGTCTCTCCAATGTACTGCATCACGGTCACATTGTATTTTCGACAGTCATCCCAAAACTGAGAGGCCGAAAATTTCCTCTTCAACACCATAGTCATACCTGAATCAAACCCACAGCGATTATGTATTAGGATAAGAGCTACAATAAACACAAAATAGACTTTCTTTTAGTACTTTCAACAAGTTATAACATTTTTCCATTTAAAAACTTGTCTGGAGTTGTGCTTAGTTTCATCCACACGGCTGAGTAAACCTGATTTTTTTTCTGCATCTTGTCCCAGAGCTCAGAGTTGGTTCCATCTTGTGTTTTGAGTGTTAACATTTTTTTTTTCAAAAAGTCATAATTTTGTATAATATAGGACTCACTTTTAAGTTTTGAGGGCTTGCATTCATGCACACTCACTAAAAATGGAAGAGACTGGTTGCAAATTAGATGATTCTACTGCTTTGAGTATATCAGGATTGACCATCTAAAAAATAACAGGTATTTACTAAATCCGCCATTTTGCTTAAGTGGGCAAGGCCCATAAAAATGTTTCAGCAGAACAAAAGTAAATAAAATAGCAATGGAACAATCTGATAAGGAGCTGAGTCACTACTATAAAGTACTTTTCTAATCACTTTTTAGGCCCTAAATACTTTTGAATAAATGCTGAATTAAAAATGTATCTCATTCAAATCTCCACTGGACAGCACACTCCAGTGCTCAACAGGTGAATCGGAAAATACATAAATTGGTATAATGACAAAATTATACAGTGGCTGCATCTCAAATCTTTTTCCTCACTTCCTTATTCGTGATTCCTCTCCTCGATCCTCCATTTTTTAGATGTCAATTAAATGTGTCATATTAAGTGGTGTCCCAAAGAAAACCACAGAAGGAAGGAGTAAATATCAGGGAGGCTTCAGGAGGCACACTTTACTGGTCACAGTGAGGAGTTTATATCCTGTCTACTCGCTTTATCTCCACTGTGAGTATGACTGCCCCACCCATTTCTTGCAGAATCAAGGAGAGAAATCACAGAGAAGGAAGCAAGGAAAGAGAAATGAAACGTGGCCAGTGTGTAGTAGCAGTTCTTAGCTTGCAAATCAGTGCTAGAATTTGAACTGGCGCAAACAGGAAAACTGGCAAAAACAGCAAAGGGATCATATGATACACTATTATAACTGCCTCAAACATCCTCCAATAAATACTTTGGATCCTTTAAACTGAATTACCCACATAAAATGAACAAATTCTAACCAGTCATGTGAAAACATGACTTGTATTGGACTAATCTCCTATTTTTATATTATACTTGTTTTGTTACGTGCCCAAGGTTTGCAGATTAAAATTTATTTTGTAGCTATAATCCTTCTTATTTACATTTGTTTAATTCAGATGTCCATTACTGTGCATTGTGTCACATAAAAATAAAATAAGATTAAAAATAAATAATATCCTTGCTGTAGCTAGACATTGAAAAAAATACATGCCAGGACACAAGGCACAATATCCAAAAAGAGTCAGAGTTACCCCTCTCGATGCCCCCTGACATCCCGATGAGGAAGCCCGCGCTGTGGTACAGGGGCAGGTTGATGTAGAAGATGTCGTCCGCGGTGACACCCAGTGCGGCCTGGATGAAACAGGCTGCCCACACACGCTCATGGGTCACTACAGCTGCTTTTGGCAAACCTGATGAATAGGATGGAGGAAGAGGTTAGCTTCAACAATTACCAGTGTTTCTAAGAACAAGAATTGATTGGGTTAAATAGATATAAATTACGTATCTTAAAAGTGCCAACTAATGTAGGGAAATCAACATATAACTATATAACAACTAAATTATACCTGAATAGCCGAATAGTTTGATAGAACAATGACTTTGTATGGAGTTTTGGTCCTCTTGTACTTGTGAGATATGGAGACCTAATCCTTTCCCAGGTTTGACCCTCTAAAAATCTTTGAAAAGGTGAAAATATGTCTCATTATCTCCCTCTCGTTATACACACCAGCCAAACTGTTGTGAACAATACAAATTTGACTATAATGTTAAAATTAAGACAACACTCAGGCAAGAAACTTTTACAATTTGTGCCTATGTGTTTTTGTCTACTTTTAATGTATACTTTAGTCATTTAAATTGAACAAAAAATTAGGAAAGGAAGATATTGGTGGTTTTCAGATTGTCGAATGTGTTGGCGTCATACTCTCAGATGGGGTCAAGAACCATTTGTTACCTATTGATTACTTTGTACTTTGCCATGAAATATCTACATGGTGATTTCTCAAATGCTGAACCTAAAAACTCACTGAATTACAACAAAACTCAGCATATCAACAATATCAACAAGCGGCCCCAATCTATATTAAATCATATTGGCCAATTTAATATTGTGATGTCTCCAGAAGCCCAGGAATTGTTCAGTCAAAATTACTTACTGAATTGATCTGATCTTTCACCAGGATGAATCAATCAATGAATTAATATAAAAAATAATAATGACTTGCATTAAATAGCTTTCTTTAAGATACTCAAAGTGCTTTATGTTTCATTATTCACTCCCTGTACTTTAACCCATGCCCCAACCGCCCTCATTCAATCACACACACCCCATATTCATACACTGTGGGTGCATGCACTGTCCCCCCATGTTTTCTCACCTGTAGTCCCAGATGTGTAGATGTACAGCGCCGTAGTCTTGATGGTCACATTGGCTCTGAGATCTTTGGACAGTGGCTCATCCGATGCATTTTCAATCTTCTCCGCGAGAGGGTTGATGCCAGGGATGTTGCAGCTGTCCGCCAGGATGAAGACGGAGATGCCCTGCTCCTTCAAAGTGGGCAGCACCTCCTCTACTGCAGATATTAGCTCTGAAACAACACAAAGTTCGAGGGAGTGAGAGAGAGTTGCGCAATTCAACACATGTGGCCTTCTTACTATTACCCAATTCCCTCAGGGGAACAAGCACATGGAATACGCAGCTCAAAATGCTGTACTGAGAAGACCAGAGAAGGTCAGACAGACAACAGACTGCAGAATAATACCGAGACGAAAATAGTACAAAAGTAGAAATACAAACATTTCAGAGAAATTTAGCTTGATTAGATTGAATAATGTAAGCCTATACAGTATCTAGAGAAAAAGTAGTCATCCTGGTTGTTTTTAAATCACAATTTAAATTTGTAATTTTTATTCTGCTGTGAACTCTCAGATTTAATGCTTTAGAGGCTGTAATATCAGATTATCTCTGTAATCTACACCCAAATTTCCAGAGAAGCAGTTTGTTGCCTAAATTGAGATTCCATATGCTTGTTGAAGAACATCAAGCTCACATGTGCATGCACAACAAATGATCATGAATTAAAAAGTGTTTTAATCAATGCAATCCTTTTTGCGCAACACTGCATTTTAGCACTATCCCGGACAGCCCCTCCCCCCGAGCCCACAGCTCAGGGGTTAAAATCATGGAAGTAGTAAGATCTTATAATAGGTCCTTGGTTAATGTATCTTACCTGGAGAGGTGATGAGCACTTTGGCTCCGCAGCACGAGAAGCAATGGAGCAGAGACTTGGATCTGATGTTGAAGTTTAGAAGCGCAGCGGGGCAGCCAAGTTTAGCCAGGCCCAGAAATGTCCACATAAAAGCGGGCTCATTTGGCAAAAACATAGCTACTGTATCCCCTTCTTTAAGTGTCGCCTCAGCCTGCAGCGCTCGGGCCACTTTGGAGCTTTGTTTATCTATGTCCTCGTACGTGTACTGGCGCCCCTCGAAGTGCACAAACACCTTGGTTGGATGCCGTTTCGCTCCATTCAAAAAGTGGTCCAACAAACTATAAAAAGGTTTACTCTTCTTGTACTTTGTTAGCCTTATACCCAACTTGATACTTCTCCACATGGAAGCGCAGTCCGCGGTAACGTATGGGCCTAAATAAGTTTTAAGGTATGAAAGAGATAAAATAGCCAGTCCGGCCAGCGCTGTCAGCCACATGTACATCTTGTAAACAGCACTCCAGGTCGTTACGTCTGCCGCGTAGAGTGTCAGAGAAGGAGAAAATAAAGTATCTTGGTGCTATTTGTGACAAAGTTCACCGCGGGACTCGGGGCGGTGCGCTGCGCCCCCTGGACCCCCCCTACTCGAGAATGTATGCGGATGCCAGATATGGCGTTTCTTTGCACCAACTACAGCTGTTTATACAGTCTGCCTTTACGCACAATGCGTAGCCTATTTATTAGCGCCAAGAATAGCTTCTCGCAGAAAAGCAACACAATTTGCGCAACTGCGGTTTAAAAGTTGCTAAATAGCAATTGGAGACATTAATCAAAAAACTCTTCCAGAAGCGCAGGAAATGGCAACCCTCGACAGAAATGCGCAATCTGAGAAAAAGGTAGGCGTGTCCCTCCTCTTCTCCGCTCATTTGTCTGATTGTAAAGGCGATCCCAAAAAGTCTTGCACAGAAGTTTGAATAATGTTATGAAATACTAAGATGCGTATACGCAACTTGTTCTAGGAGCAAAGTGATACGTTGTTGACTTTGGGTTCCTGTGACATCTTCTTTGGCAAACAATGAAACAAACAAGTTTTGTGAAGATCAAAATTGAGTTTATAACATGTACTTTAATTTTTATTTCATTTTTTAAATTTAATATTCTAATATATGTTGGCTATAATAATTATCGCGTTAATTGCGATTAATTAATTACAGTCATATTTAGCGCGTTATGTTTTTTAATCGCGTTAATCTCATTGTTAATCTCTAACTTTACTGTTTCTGTATGTGAGTTGCTTTATTATAAAATCAGTTTTTATGTATACACACACACACACACAAAAAAACACATTTATACATTTTTTTATTTCGGTAATTCCACTCATTGTCGGAAACCCACACAAAACGCGCGCAGTAAGAGCGATGTAAACGTCATTGTTCACGTTGGCGACACGTCAGTCACAATGGACGAGGTCGAACAGCCAGTAGAACAGAGTCAGCAGCGCACAGGTAAAAACGCATTCGTGTCTTGGAAATTCTTCTCCCGATGAGACATATAAAAGAAAATAACAAATATAAAATCGCCTACAACTTAAATGTCACTGGTGAAAACAACCTGCATAGACTCATGATGTCTGCACTACTGTCCTATAGTGACCTGCCACATGAGGGGACACACGCACACAAACACACACAAACACACACAAACACACACAAACACACACAACACACACAAACACACACAAACACACACCTTCATCATCGTCATTAACCTGAGAACGCGCAGACCATGTCTAAAACCAGGTCTAAACCAGGACTAAACCAGAACTAAAACCAGAACTAAAAACCAGAACTAAAACGAGGTCTAAACCAGGACTAAACCAGAACTAAAACCAGAACTAAAAACCAGAACTAAAACGAGGTCTAAACCAGGACTAAACCAGAACTAAAAACCAGAACTAAAACCAGAACAAAACCAGAACTAAAACCAGAACTAAAAACCAGAACTAAAACGAGGTCTAAACCAGGACTAAACCAGAACTAAAACCAGAACTAAAAACCAGAACTAAAACCAGGTCTAAACCAGGACTAAACCAGGAGTAAACCAGGACTAAACCAGAACTAACACCAGGAATAAAACCAGGACTAACCCATTCCAGGACTAAACTAGGACTTAAGTAGGACTAAAGCAGGTCTAAACCAGGACTAAAACCAGTGATCTCATATATAAAGCATTTCTCTATCAATAATATTTTTAATATGGTTAAGGAAAGACTGGACTTTTTATTGTCTTTAAGTAGACAAAAGTTATTATGCTCAGATTTCCTCGTCTTTGCTACTTTACAGCAAACAGTTTCTTATTCATGGAGACTTGGGCTCAACAGACAATTTGAAGAGAACAAACAACAACAACATTTGCAGGATGCGGTTGCTACATTCATGTAGTTTTAAAAAGTATGACAATATCAAGTTATCCAAAGTATTCAAATTACGTTACTCACTTTAAGTAATTAAATGGATTAAGTTACAAACTACATTTTGGGGTATGTAATCTGTAATCTGTAGGGGAATACATTTTAAAAGTAACCCTCCCAACACTGCAGATTAGTAATAGTAATAATAATGATGATACTGTGGAATATAAGTGACTGCATCTGTTAATGTTTGTTAAACAATAAATGACTTTATAAAGTCACTTTTTTTTGTTCTATATCAGTCTTTTGATCTGTCACAATAATGTAAGAATGAATTTAAATGAAAATACCTCAAATTGAAGGCTTTTCTCAGCAATTTTTAGGTGAAATTAAAAAGAGATTAATTAGATAAATTAATTACAGATCATAATTATTTAATCTGTCAATTTTTTTAATCGCATGACAGCACTAATAATAATATGCTAGAATACAAGTGACAATATATGAGAGCAAAGGATTGTCTGTCATTAATATAGCAGCTGGGATAGGCATTGTTGAGGAAAACAGCCTTTTCCTCTCGTGTTCATTAGTTTCTAGATAAAGAATATGCTTGAAACCAAAATAAAGTTCAGATAATTATTTATTGAAATATTAGAAAGCAATACTTGTACAAGGAGTCTGTGTCGACATTCCCATGTAGAGGCTCCATGTTGAGTTTTTTACGCAAACTATAGTTTCAGCCACCCAGGTTCAGACTTAGCGCCTCTTCGTTGGTGCACAGCCAGCCACGCCTCTTAGATTGGAATAACACATTTGTCTTGAAATATTGCTATGAGTCTCACATCTGTCATCTGAACTCTTATCTTTACATGACCTCGGTACAATATTGAACTTTAGCAATGGTTACACAAAGTAGTTGAGCCTAGTTATTTAACCTAACAGCATCAGTCACTTTGGACTCCCAAAAGGAACCAAATGTACAATGTGGTGGGGTATGTCATTATTAGGTTAAGATTTAACCCTCACGCTCTCCTCGGGTCACATAGATCTGAAGATTTTTTTTTTTCCTTCCCGGTCAGTCAGACCTTAAAATTTATTTTCAAATAAATTCTCGCCAGGCGAGAAAATAAATTTTTGGGTCTGATTGACCCGCCCCAAGAGAGCGGGAAGGAAAAAAAATCTTCGGGTTAATGTGACCCCGAGGAGAGAGTGAGGGTTAAACAAGTGCAATTTAGGGGAAAGATGCTATGGGGTTTGCAGTTATTTATTTTTTTTATTTAAAAGTCCTGAGCTCAAATAAAAGATATCTTGGATAATTTGCCTTTTCCTTTACTGCAGTTAGTTACATGTTCTACTGATGCACCAGGATGAACCCTTCGTCCAAGAAAATATGTGCAATATCGGTAAGGTCTGTCTGAACATGTATACATGCTTAAAGGGACATTGCATAAGTGTGTTACATAGTGAGCTGGTTGATCATTCAAAAGTTTAAAACTTCTAGCGTTGCAGCTTCTAGGGAGTTATAAAAATTTTACTCGGATCAGATTGTTCTTCTGTTAACTTCCCCTTTTGATGTTGCAACAACAATAATTATTCTTCTCACGTGCCACAGACAATAAGATTATTGTTTTATTATTACATGAAGTAATTCTTAAAGTAATAAAGCAATCCGACTTGAAAAGCAAGACATTGAACTCACAGAGTCATAATCTGGCTAAAGTTTACACTTTGCCTGTGCTTAAAATACTACTACTACCACTACTACTGCTACTACTACTACTACTACTACAACTACTACTACAACTACTGCTACCACACTAAGCCTGTGGTTAAAGAACTACTTCTACTACTACACTGAGCATGTGGATAAACTTTGTTTTCAGGGAGATCCCAGGGTGAAAAAAGCTGTTCCTCATGGTTGACTCCAGCATGCTGTTGTTTGCCAAAGAATCCCACCTGACTTTCCTGTGACAGGTGCAGTGTTACAAGTCCAAACATCTGCATTTCAAATTAAAGAAACATACTACAATACTTTTAGATGACCAATAATATGAAATGTCACATAACTATAACAAAATGTTACTAAATTGTCTTGACACTACATAAGTATATTCAGTACAATTGTATTTTTTGGAGAGATATATATATATATATATATATATATATATATATATATATATAGTATATATATATATATATATATATATATATATATATATATATATATATATATATATATATATATATATATATATATATATATATATATATATATATATATACTACTACTACTACTATTTAAAGTAGCTGTATGTACGATTTACATTTAGATTTAAAATTAAAAAATAAATAAATAAATTACCTAACACGACCTTTTCAAAACAAATAGCTTTTACTGATAACAACTGTAAATGTATTCTTCCAGTTACAATGCTGAAATCCAGTTGGTGTAGACCAGAAATGACCCTCTCTCTAATCTGAATGATCACTACCTAAACCTGAGCACTAGAGCCAGTCATGAATCTGTTAGTGCAGCCTCTGCTGCTGCAGTATATAGTGTATAGTATATAGTATATATGTATATATATATATATATATATATATATATATATATATATATATATATATATATATATATATATATATATATATATATATATATATATATATATATATATATATATACAGTTCCACTGGGTCATCCATTTGCTTTGGATGTTCCACAGTGTGGCATTAAACATATCTGTCTTGCATTTATTAAAAAAATTTGCATTCTGAGTGGGTTAACACTTTTAATTACTAATGAATTAACTAATTAATTTACCTGGCACTGAGACTCCATACACATTGACCTTTTGTGTACAGTCAGCCATAATTAAGATGTCCACTGCCTTTGTTGTTGCCATCTTTTCACCTTTCCATCTAAAAAAATCTTTTTAAAAGCCAAACTCATTAAATTATATTATTATTTACTATATTGAAATCAGCCATAGCCTTCGATTAAAGACCTCTGTTAAAAGGGAAGGATGAAAATCTGAAATATTTAATTCTTCTTTGAAGATTTAAATTTAATAATGTTGCTTTCTTTGTCATAAAGTTTTAGGGTTTTTTTTGTTTTGTTTTTGTTTTTTTGTTTGTTTGTTTGCATCTTTTATTAGTGTCTGTATTGTCCAGATCACAATGCTTATCCTTGTGACTTGCTCGTCCTTATAAACAATCAGTCAGTATGAATTTTCATGGCAACAGAACAACCACAGCCACAATAAATGCATCTTCAGATTCATACATTTTTTATAAGGACAAATGAGCCTCTGATTCAAATACCTACAGAAACACTAT